TCTGTCTCTGGATAGAGATCCGGTGTTGTTTGTTCGGCCTTGCCTTTTTATTTATTCCTTTCTATATGCATTTGTGTTTGCTTCTCTGTTTTTTTCTTTACCAGTCTTCGTCTTACTTTTTATTTTTCGTTCTTCTTGTCTTTCTCTTTGTGCCGTTGTTTGTCCTCGTCTTTTCTCTTTCTGTCTTTCTGTCTGTATCTATCAGTTTTACCTTCTCTTCAGTTTCCGCTTCCGCTCCATGCAGCTCCTCTGCTGCAGCTTCATTACTTTTACTTCCGCTTTTGCTGCTGCTGTTGCTGGTGCTGCTGCAGTCCGCGCCATTGCTGCCGCTTTCCTGGTGTACGTTGGGCCATTCGCTGCGTCTAAGAGGCCGCCTCTGGGAGAGCAGGAGCTGCTACAACATAGCAGCGCATCTTGCTACTGCTGCTGCTGCTGCTCCTCCTGCTGTCTCAGCTGCTTCAGGTGCTGCTGCAGCTCCATGTTCTCATGCCGGTCCTGCTGCTCCGCATGTTGCTGCTTCTACCCCGAGGGCTTTCTTGGCAGCTGCTGCTCCTCGTGCTACACTTGCTGCTGCTGCAGCAGCAACGGCTACAGTCCCCGCGAAGCTTATTGAAGCGCTCGATGGGGCCCTCTTCAGGGCTCGAATGGACCCCAGGGAGCTCAGAAGAGCACTGCCTACGTTGATGTACGCAGAAACCTACATACTGTTGCTGCTGCTGGTGTCTTTGCAGCTGCTGCTTTTGCTGCTGGTGGTGGTGCTGCTGCGGGTGCTGTTTCCGGTGCTGCCTGCCCTTGCCGTATCGTTGCAGATTTCGGCTGCTGCTGCTTTTGCTGGATTTGTAGCTGAGTTGCATTTGCTGCTGCTGTTGCTGCCGTTGCTGCTGCAGCAAAGCTGAAGTGGAGGCCCCCTGGGGATTCGCAGTGGACGCCAATCCGCCTGAGGTGGGGGGCATGTTCGTCGCCTACGTCGTTGAGAACAGCAAGGCAGAGAAAGCGGGACTCATGCCTGGTGAGGCTGCTTCACCGAGCAGGAACAGCAGGAGCAGCAGCAGCTGCTGCTGGTGCACCAGCTGGAGCAGCAGCTGGAGCAGCAGGTGGAGCAGCAATACAAACAGCAGCAGCAGAAATGAACTGCAGCAGCCGAACATCCTCAACATCCAGCACCAGACGTTCCCGGTGTCCAACGACTTGCCGACCATGCAGCAGCAGCAGCGGTACCATCACCACCAGTAACAGCAGCAGCAGAACATCTTTCTCTCTTTTTGTGTATATGTACGTGTGTGTGTCAGGAGACCAAATTGTGGTAGCCAACAACTCCATAGTGTTGGGGCTGCCATTTGAGCGGTGCCTGGGCTTGCTCCGGGCACGGCAGCGGCCCACAGCACTGCACCAGGAGCAGCAGCAGCTGTTGCCTCTGCAGCTGGAGGTATACAGGGGCCCCTTCCCTGTGCTTTACGGGG